AATGTTGAAAACATTACAGTGTGAGTAACATTCTAATTCTAGCAATAAACAGGATATTTGTCATGCCTGGAACCTATGTGTAATTAAATAATGGCCTATTTTCCAAAAGCTTTATGGTACAACATTATTGGGCTAACTAGGAGGCCATCATTTTGGCTCCTGTTGGGAGAGTTTGGAGATAAAAATTGTAAGGGTGTGCCTTTTTCTGAAAATAAATCGTGATTATCATTTAAACACTACTGACTAGGCTGAAAACGTACCAGCACATTTCTATCATTGTGCATCACAGCTTGAGTTCACAATACCACAGTGAAAATTTTCATTTCTATAGGTAACAAAAGCACAGCAGTGACCATATCGTTTAAGTATACGTCTGTAGATTAGTGAGGGTCAAATTTACAAACATTTTCTAACTTAAGAAACGTCATAAGTATTTTTTTTTTTTCAATACAATACAATACTTGGGATACAGATGGCTTTGTAGACTGCGAATCCAGCCCCTGGTATCTCGATACAAAGTCATTGTATAATTAGGTAATTGGGAAATTTACTAAATGCAGGTATTTAGCGGGCTTCAGAAGCTAGGCATGTGCATGAACAGGAAGAGCACCAATAGAAAGATCAAAGAAGCTGCACAACATTTCCAGAAGAAAGTCAAGTCATGGAAACAGTCTCAATATCACCTCAAAATAAACAGGTACAGTTTTAACTATTTTTTTGTTGAGTACATTTATAAATGCTTGTTTTTCCTCGAAGCCTGATTGCTTTATTTTCTAATTTTGATATATATAGAAGAAAATAATGCATGTTTCAAACAGGCCTTTGCTAAATAGTCCCCCTGTATTTAAATTGCTTCAATCAAATCAAACTATACTAAACTGCAACTAGGTACTAGTATGCTAACTAGGTACATGGTTTTTATAAGGAGCTTAAGCAACAGAGTTTGGGCAACACACCTCAACCAAAACTGGACTATTTGCATCCTTGGGTAGTAGTTTGGTTCACTCTCGAGCAAATCGTCTTTTTATACATATTTAGCAATAACAAATACAAAAGGGAGAAGGCCTCACTTTAAAGTGGGTAGCTCAAAAACATCTATCCTTAAGTTCCCCATTTTGTCATCATAACAGCTAACTGTAGCACATGTCGGTATCAGTGAGAATAACAGAAACTATTAAATAGAGGTTTTACAAAGTCAATGAGTAGACTAACAAACAACAATAAGGGTTGTATAGGTTGATGACCTGCTTTTCCCAAAAAGTTGAAGGATGTTGAATGGTTCATAAGCATCCTTGTAAATGTAATGTAAATATTTTTATTGCAAATTATAATGAAGAACAGATCTGTTTACAGTGACAGTCATTCTACTAATTATTATTTAACTATTTTTAGGTCACAAGCTCATCAATGCCCGTATTAAGTACTCCGCAGATTCAACAGCAGGTACACACATTTGTACAAACAACAAATGTACTATAATTTAGTTGAATACCTACAGGTATGTGTAATCCAGTTCAATCTGTCTTTTTGGGAGCACATCTGGCAAGCAAGTGCCAGTTCTTTTAAGTATCACTCTGTTAAATGATATTACTAATCAACAATAGTGAACAGTTTTCAATATACAGCTACACCCTACCATCTTGAATTCCCAAGAAAAGTATTATATATCAGCATGTTTAAGTTGACACGGTTCAGCTGTTTGTAAGATTCAAAAATATATTTCTGATCAACAGAGAGTGACACTAAATGGTCCTCAATAACAAGATAATAGTGAGTGGAAAACATTAATATTTCACTACTGCTTTTATAATGTTCTTAGCTACACAGTTGAATTCCTCTCAAATAAAAACCCATAAGCAGAGATTTGTACAATGTGCACCGTTAAACTTTAAAAAAATGTCCCTTTTCTGTTAGTGTGTTTGGGCTCTGAACATCAAAAAGGAAATTCTGCTTAATGAAAAACAACCATCAAAAGAACAAAGTTTAACATCTTCACGTGCATGCATTTTACAATGCACGTGATATAACAATGTCCATAAATTGAAATCCTCCAATCATCACATCAACTATAATAACCTGTTTCCTCAGAGGAAAGTTAACCAATCAAACTACAACAATTTCGATTCCACTAAGTAATATAAAAGGACAAATTTTTGCATCTGCTGTTCTCTTATCTTTGACCTATTCATCAATGTTTATTGTTTTATTGTCTGTGCTTCTGATCATCTTGTCGTGCCCGAACAAACCCGGACTAAAGACAAGACCTTCAAACAGTTCAGTCCTGATGAACATCCAAAGCTCCTGCATTGGTGTTGTAACTGAAAAGGGCAAGTCTTCACAAACCTCACACTCCTTGAACCTCCAAAGTTCCTCAGTTGCCCTTCAAACTGCAAACCTAGACCATCCACAACTGACTTCACATCTGTTGAACCATTTTTACTATCTTGTGTCCAGAAATTCGTCAGTTCGCTTGACCTTGAACCTGTTCAAATCCCTCCCATTAACAAAATCCCCCTGCAGAAAAGGAAAACCACATTTTTCAACGAAAGAAATTGCAATAACAACTGACACGTTAAAACTAGAAAACCAAGGACTACTTAAATCAACATTTACTTACAAAACGACTCAAAACATGAAGTGAAAAAGCAAAACAACTGGCAAGTTGATTCATTCATTTTACAACACACATCATTTTAACCAACTCTTATTAACTTAACCATCCTACCAAGATACATTACATTAAACGTATCGTTACAACAAATTTCAACCAAAGTTCACATTACCTAGTCTTCAATCAAACAAAACCAACCCTTGCTTAACTTTTAATCGTTGTTTAGGCAGTTTAACCTTTTGTTAACACTTAACCATCTCACAACCACACACTCATCTATAGACACCAACAATACACTTATTAATCAACAATTAACACCTTGATACCTTCCAATTCCAACAACACTTCTTTTATTTTCACCTCTTCTCAACCACCACTCAGTTGCCTTTAACATACAATGAACATAACACCTTACTCCCACCATACTTCATTTACTACTATTCCTCCGCATTCACCATTTAGTCCACGACCACAACGCCGAAGTGTACGCTACCATAGCATTTTCTTGTTTTCTTTCTTTTCACAGATGTTTGTTGGATTGTTATTGAATTGTTGTTGCTTTGGCCTCTTATGCTAGACATATGAAACTTTACATCATCAACTTGCTAGGATTCTGGAACTTTACCTTCACCTGGTAACTTGTCTTCAAAATCAATTCATTTATTACTTTTAGAGTGCTGAACGTCAATATGTAGGCGACAAGTACAACAACTAGTAAGTGCTCCATTGAGCTCTGTTTCTCACTGTTAGTGTGCTGAACGTCCATATTGTTATGATATCATTATTATATATTTGGCTTGCATGCATCACGTGACCTATTCTTATGTAACAGAGACCTTGTGGTAGAAGTTCGTGCTTGGAGGCATACCGATTAAAGATTGTTCCTGTTTTAACCAGCTTGTTGTCTCTCAGCTATCATCACATGGTGTTGTAAGAGGGATCTCAACTGAGACATTGAGTTTACTGTTGTTGCCACAATTTCTGACAGTTTCAACGCCTTGTCAGTTCCGAGTTGGAGGTAAAGGCTTTTGTCTGCCTTCATTCATAATCCCATACATGGCCACTGTCAGTACAACAACCACCAAAATTCCCTCGCTGCTGAATTAATCTGTTTGCACAAGGAGAGAATTGGAAACTGTTTCCTCAAGAATGGAAGATTTATGATTTAGCTGTGGGCATTCATAAAAGGTTGGAAGAAGTTTGTGTTGCCTCTCTATTAAACATTGTTGAAAAGAAGGAAATGGACATGTATGAAACCCTTCAATGAGACAATCCATCTCATGAATTGGAAATCGATTTAATCGAATATTTTGTGGTGGTGAACATGTGCTCAAAAAGAGCTATGTTCAGCCATCAGACAGAAATGCAAAAACCATGGCAAAGTTGGTCATTTTGCAGTCAAATGTCGCAGTGGTAAGTCTGAGAAAGTAAATGCCAATGCTGCTTCAGAGAATGTTTCTTCGGATCCTGTTCTTAGTCCCTTTGCTTATGTATTTCAAGGTGTTGGTTTTCTACCTGGAGAATACAGTATTCAGCTGGATAAAGAAATGCATTCCATGGTTCATCTCCCACATGGAGTCCCTCTGCCTAAGAAGGAAGCAATGAAGACAGAGCTTGACAAGATAATGACTAACCAGATAATTGCACCTGTTACTGAGCCAACCAATTAGGTGTCTAGTGTCCTAGCTGTGCCCAAAAAAGATTGTTATGTCTGCATTTGCCAGGATCCTTCTAGTTTATCTAGAATAAAATATATGAAGTCTATGTCTTTACTCATTTTCATATTCCTGAGCACATCCCTCATACGATGTGAAAGATAAGTTGTGTTGTGAACACTGCCACTGCAGAGGACGCTATCTTATCAAAAGTATTCTTAAGGTCAGGTACAACAACAGAGAAACTAACTAACGATAAGTGTGATTCTACGAATTCAGAAAGAGAGACAACCCAAGCTGTGTATGATTTAGACGCATTTGGAATGAACGACCATAACATACGACAAATTTTACTTGATAACCTATAACATGGTTGATAAAAAGTGCAAACAAGGTCTTTGTTTGCAGTGGCTGATGTTGAGTCCTTTGTGGAGAAGCCTGCTGACGTTTTACAGAGGTGTTGCTGCCTGGAGCAGCACATGAAATCGGGTGTACTTTTTTCACATGGCAATGAAGCTCGACAAGTTCCCAGCAAACAATACCTGTTAGAGAGGTCTGGTATTTCCGTACATTTCTCATCCATGCACGAAAACTATTTCAGCCCATGGAAGTACGTTATGAAAGAAGACCAAGAATATATTCAGAGTGGCAGGCATCCTGACCTCACAAGCGCTACTGCTCCAAGAAGCACCATGACCTCTTTTACCAAAGGAAAAGGACTGAAAAAGAGGTAACAAGAAGAAAGCAAAAAGAGGAAGAAACGTACAGCCTCGTATGAATTATCATAAATTACTCTAGCTAAAAACATTAAGTCTCGAACAGAACTGCTAGCACTCGCAAGAGAGTAAAACCAAGAGGGGAAAACTGACATCGCCAAGTATATTGTAAAGTTGCCAAAGTTGTAGCAGCCCGGCTGGTTACTACCTGGGAGCTGGAAAACTCCAAAGATAACTTAGAAAAGCAGAGGAAAAGCAGAATTCAGCTGTTAAAGGAAGCAAGAGACAGAGCATGTGTACAATAATGGTTCTGGAAGATGGTTAATTTTAACAAAAGAAATACTCCAGAGTAATGGAGTGGACATAAACTACTTCAGGCATTGTGTTCATGAATTATGACAGAAAGGATACAGCAAAATAACGGAATCTTTGGATTGTAGGCCCAGCTAACCGCACAAAGACATTTTTCCTCATTATTGCTTTTTTACACCTTATCAAACCTAGCATTCACACGTTTTGCATGGGTTGGCGCAGAACAGGCTGAATGCATTTTTTAAAATGATTTTAGATGCTCTCCAATCTTTTAGTGGCATGATTTTCTATTAATGTTGGAGGGACAGTTTGTTTACCAGCCCCAAAATCCCAATATGCAAAAGACACTGTCTTTGAGAAAGACACGCCAATCTTTGCCACTGGAAAAAAACGTTATGTTTGTGAAAAAATTGCACTATTGATGAGGAGCCAGTGATGATGGCCATGCACTTTTGTGCGCAAATGCCACAAGAAAAGCAAAATCAGAGTCCTCCATGAGGAAAGTGCTTCGCATGGCTTTTTCTTGGCAAGAAAGATTGCTTATTTGTGGTGTAAATAAGGAGTTCAAAGGGTTAACCATAATAGAAAACATCCACATTTATTAGTTATAACATTACATTGCTTACTGATTGGCAACATGTGGTTAACCATTCCATAACGAAGAAAGCAGTATTTTTTTTCAGTTTGAGCTCCTGTTTTCTTTCTAAGTCAAAGAAAGTGTTCTTTCATTTTTTGGATGAATAATCACAGAAACAAAGGCTTTTGCTTGTGAATGTAACTAACAAACTTTCAAGGCATGTGATATGTGCTGATGTTATACTATCCATGTTGCATTATCATGTGGCAGAGCGTGTTGCCTGTCCTAATTGAAAATATATTTTTTAATACGTTGTACACTTCTGTAGTTTTAATCAATAATTCTATTCTGTTCGTTATACTTTCAACTGTCTTGTAAATTAAAGCAGTATGAAGATTATGACAGTGAAAACTCCTGAAATGTCTCTTGTGTATATGCCATCTTTACAATGTGGAAAATATTCTCAACAAAATGAAAGTCACCACTTCTCGGAGGAAGGGGCACTAACCTTGCTCCCAATCGCCTCTAAACAGTGCGAGCTAACGCCGAGTTTTGACTGGGATCATTGTCTTGCATAAATAGTTTTGGTCCCCCTTTTTCACAATCTCATGATTATATGCACGAATTCCCGGTCTATGAACCATTTCAAATATTGTCGGTTTAAGGTCTTACCATAGCTAAGGGCAACCATAAAGTTGCCAACCTTTGCACCAATGCCACAAAGGAAACCTTTGCTTGTGCAACTAAAGGCTAAGCCTTCTTGTTGTTTTCTCCAACTACGCCCACTTGGTGCCCAAGCTTGGTCAACAGGGCTATACTTAAGAACAAAATTCACAATATCCAAGAAAGAAGAAATGTCTTCCAAACGTTTGTCGATTGCTCTCTTTTTACCTTTCAAGCAAATTGTAACTGTTTAACAAGGTCTGTTTCAGTTAACAGGCCCTTTTGACATGCATGTGAATAGTTGTAACCTTCTCTACAGAGAAGTAGTTGAACAGTCTTAGTTGACATGTGAGTACTGTCTACCCTAACTTTCTGCATTAAATGATTGATTGTGAATTACACTTCGCAAACCTCCATAAGACATAATAGCTTATTCCCCTGACTTTTGCACCAAAATCAAGTCATTCAAAGTCCAAACAAGGCTCGAGCCTCGATCCCACGAAACAATTCCTCATGGTCAAAAATGGCTTCATGCTAGATGGTTTGTCTCCCTCGCTGAAGTCATAGTTTCGGTTTTTTTAATAATAATAATAATAAAATATTTATATAGCACTTATACTTTTCAGTGCTAAGCGCTTTACAATGCTTCAAAAAGGTCTGAATAAAAAATAAAAATCCTAAAATCATGATATAAATATATACATAACCAAAAAAGTGGAAAGAAATCCTCATCTACTTTAAAGTGCTAGAGTGCTCAACCATAACAAAGCCGTAATTAGCAAATCCACATGCACTAATAATCGAACTAAGAAAAGCTGCAATTGTAGGAAACCTAACGAGTGTCCCATGGATGGAAACTGTAACGTGGAAAGCGTCATCTATCAGGCCGAGGTCACCACAGAAACTGCAAAGGAAACATACATTGGACTCTGTGACACTGCGTTCAAATTGCATTATAGAAACTTTGTAAGCTCATTCCGAAACGAGCATTACAAACATGCTACCGAACTTAGTAAATACATATGGAGTCTCAAAAATTAAAACGCTAAGTATAACATCAAATGGCGCAAGATAAAACAAGCTAGTTCTTACTCCAATGTAACTAAGAGATCCAATTTGTGTTTGTGGGAAAAGTATTTTATCATTTGTAAACCGGAAATGGCAAGTCTAAACAAAAGAAATGAGCTGTCATCGTGTTGTAGACATGTTAGGAAATTCCTGTTAAAAAATGTAACGATGTAATGACATGCCTAGACGTCACGTACGTATCCATTGTTCTGTATTTCAAATTTCTGTGATTGTAACCATTATTTCTGGCAGTTGCCTGATGATTGCTTCACAAGTAAATGTTCAAATAACCTAGCTCTTGGAGTATAATTATATATATATATATATACATAGTCACAAAAATACAAAATAAAAAACCTAAGACAGTTCGTAAACTCACTTAAAAAGAAAGGTCTTCAATTTAGATTTAAACTTATTTACATCATTGATAGATCTAATGTCAATAGGCAAATTGTTCCAGAGTACAGCGGCGATGACTGAAAAAGCCCTGAAACCGTATGTCTTTAAGTTATAGGGTTTAATAACAAGACATCACTTGTCTGAAGATGATCGAAGGTACCTCGCAGGTTCATAAACATGGATTAGGTCAACCAAATAATCAGGAGCTAAATTGTTAAGTATCTTAAAACAAATAAGATTAATCTTAAAGATTATTCTTTGCTCCACTGGTAGCCAGTGCAACTACTTTAGAGTATCACTTATGTGATCAAACTAACTTAGGCAGGCAATCACACGCGCTGCAGCGTTTTGGACTCTTTGCAGTTTGTTAATTTCGTACTTGGGAAGACCATGTAAAAGCGAGTTGCAGAAATCCACCTTTGAATTTATGAATGCGTGCACAAGAACTGCAGCTGTTGTGACATTGTGTCTCGATATTGCATGGTTGCTTAGTAACGCTAGCGACATGCGCATTAGGACTTGCAGGCTCTTACCATGTGCTCTTGCCAAATGGCGGACTCTGTACATCACGTTTGTTATAAATGACTAAATCCTGTTGAGATTTCAAGACATGGTGGCAGTGGTTAAACAAGTAAAATGCTGAAGTTAAGCCCTCCAGAGAAATTTGATTTTTCCAAACCGTTCAACTGGCCAGATTAGAAGCAGAATTTCCTGCGATTTCGACTCGCGACAAAACTTCACAAAGAGGAAGGAGCGGTGTAAGTCAGTGCTCTCATTTACACAATGGGAACAGAAGCAGAACAAGTGTATAAGTCTTTTACCTTGGCTGATGGAGATGATGCAAAATTCGATGTGATTTTGACGAAGTTTGATGAACATTTCGTGCCGAAACGGAACATAATTCACGAGCAGGCACATTTTCACCAAAGGATCCAAAAGCAAGGAGAGACAGTCGAATAGTTCGTATAAAGTCTTTACGAGTTAGTTGAACACTGTAATTTTGGGGACAGCCGTGATCAGCAAATATGGGACAGAATTGTCATTGGAATTCTTGATAAAGGTGTGTCGCAGAAATTACAGTTAAAGTCGGATTTAACGCTGGAAGTCGCGATTCAAATAGCTCGCCAGTCAGAAATGGTCAAGTATCAGGTTACTGATCAGAATTCCCTCGCTTCGAAGGATGTTGAAGAGGTGCACAGTAAGAAGAAACCGACTAATCCATGTTGGAAAAAGGGAAAAGGAAAGAAAGAGGATCCATCTCAAAAGCAAGGTCAGAAGAAGTGTGGCAGATGCGGTCTCCATCACTCAAAGCCTGAACACTGTCTAGCAAAAGATAAACGATGTTTGAAATGTCAAAAAGTGGGTCACTTTGCAGATGTTTGTTGGTCCAAATCGGTGAGTGAGGTGAATAGTAGTGGTGATGGTAGTGCTTCAAATGATGGCAGTGCTGGTCGTTGGTTCTTAGGTGCGTTGTCAAGTGATTTAGATCAGGATGACCAATGGAAGGTCCAGCTTAAGGTCAGTGGTAAACCTCTGGTGTTCAAAATTGATACTGGTGCTGATATTACTGCCATTTCAAAGTCTACTTTTGATAGTTTGCCAAATCAGCCCAAGTTACATCCAGCGAAGATGGCTCTTTTCAGTCCAGGAGGCAAGTTGCAGTATGCTGGGCAGTTTACAAGTCAAGTCAAGTTCAAGTCACTACAGTTTGAGGAGTTCAAAGCAAAGTATGGATTCAAGCACACCACATCAAGCCCGCATCATCCCCAGGCAAATGGTTCTGCATAAAGTGGCGTGCGAATCGCTAAGCGGATTCTGAAACAGGAGGATCCACTCCTTGCTCTTATGGCCTATAGGGCGACCCCAATCCCAGCAACTGGAAAGACACCATCAGAGCTGATCATGGGAAGGCTGATACGTACTACACTTCCAACACTGACCAAAGTTTTAGAGCCAAAGCTTCCAAACCATTCAGCAGTCGAAAGAGCTGATATCAAAG